ATGTTGGCGGTGTTCGATCGGAAGGTCGCGAAGTGCCCGGAGGGGCTGAGGAGCCCGGGGGCGGAGGGGGGCGACGGGGGACGCAGCATGTTGGATCACTTCCTGGCGGCGCGAGCGGGGGCGGTGGCCATCAACCTTGGCTCTTCTGGGGGCTTGGCTTACACGTCGAAGAAGCAGACTCCTCTGCTTCCGAGGTAACTGTAATACAACCAAAATCAAATCTTGATGAACGGCGAGGTGATACATTCGAACAAAAGCTTCGAGCAAGCTGTCGAATCCCTTGTTCGAACATCCCATTCCGTGAGGTTTTAACAGTCTTCCAGTCTTCCGATATGTTCTTTTTGTGGATAATTATATGATAATTACCTTCAATTTTGTTCTTCTTTCCTGTTTTGGGTGTGTGTAAGCATTAATTCTTTATACGACCAATTAATTCGCATGGAAGCTTCATATAATCATGTTTCGACGCAGGATTCATTTCAAATGGTCATCTTGGTAAAGGATGATTTCGTTCGTCTGATCTGTTTGTTCTTAAAGCATCGGAATCTTCTGGCAAATGCCCTTCGTACTCAAAACTACACCGTGTGAATTGGATTTGTTGTGAATGATCCTACTGGTAGACGCGTCCAGTATTTCTTGCTAATTTTGAGGTCAAATTAGCTTCTCAGACATAGATATGGCTCATGGGATTGTTGGTGTAAATGTGACGGATGCATCAAAAGGGTTACTAACCATTAGAATTAATTTTCTTTTATTAAATTGATCATCAAGGTTTACTAGTAAATCTATTTCCGGAATACATTTGTATTTTTCTTTATTGTCTTCTGGTAGGCAATTTATCCAATGAGAAAGGGTTATAATCTTCTTGGCCTTTGTCTTTGTTACTTAACATCGAGAGATTACTGAACTTATCATTGATTTCCTGGAATTAGTTTAATGTTGCCACCTCCATGGAAGTTATCTTCTTTTGATTGTTGCATGGTGCCACTTATATTTTATAATGCTGATGCTGCTTTAGTGTAGAAGGTAAGCCAATCTCTACCCCTGGTAGAGGCAGAGATAAGGTTGTGCACATTGATCCTCCCTGGATTGTGTACATCAATCCTCCCTAGACCGTGGACTGTTAGAAAGATCGTCGCAACAGGTTGTTTTTTTCTTTATGCTGCCTTGTCCATTTGGATAACTTGATAGACCAGAATAATGGGAACTTGATAAAGGAGAGAATCTATTTTTTTGGTCATGTAACAAATGAGAGAAATGGCGAGAATTGATTTCTTTCCAAACCCTCCTTTCTTTGCAAGTGGAGGATGATGTGATAGAATAAAATCTTTTAAGTGATTCTTTATCTCCAGAGAGGAAGAGGTTTATTGCCCTTAGCTTTTCCACTTTTCATCTCTGCTGTGATTACTCTTTCATCCTCTACTCTTTTAATTACTAAAATTGGGGTGCACAGGATGCTGGTGCATCAATAGCTATGTTGCATTGATAGCTTCGATAACTATTTAAGTAAACTCTACAAAAATTATTACCGGCAAAATGTATTTTTGTGTCAAATTAAGGCACATGTGTACATGATCAGATGATGGTGCTGATGCATTCCCAAAACCATTTTGACTCAATAGTTGGATAATTTAATTATCCTTTGCGAAATACTGCAAGGATAAATGGAAATTGCATCTCAAAATCATGATCTTCTCTTCTTTCTTTTTTTTCCATTTAATTTTTTTCTCGTGCTTATATGTCATGTTGGTGGAGATGCTGGCTAGTAGTTACTATTTTCTCCTCTTTCATGCTTGAAAGGTTGAACAGAAATGTGTGTAACTTCAATTTCACCTATCATAGTTTCATCTTTCCTAATAATTCTGCCATTAACGATGGTGGTAGTCTGCTAGTATAATAATTCTTACTACTTTTAAAAAAAAATCCTTTATTTTAATTTTTGTCATTCTTTGTATCCAAATAATCTTTTTGCTTTAATGCCTTCATAAAGCTCTTACTTATAGTAAACTTTGCAAGTTCTGCTTTTCTCCACCTTCCTGGTTGCATCTAGAACCTCTTTTGTTATGAAAAAACATTTTTAGCTTAAAGGAACAAGATCTAGCAGAATCAGTTTTATGTTTCTTAGTTATTTAGCATGCAACAGAATGGTAATATTCTTGGTGGTTCTTTTGCAGATTATTCGCTGTGGTGGATGATATATTTTGCTTATTCCAAGGGCATATCCAGAATATAACTTCTCTCAAGCAACAGTATGGATTAGGCAAGACTGCTAATGAAGTAATTATTGTCATTGAGGCGTATAAAACACTGAGAGATAGAGGACCATTCCCTGCAAGTCAAGTTCTGAGAGATCTAAATGGAAAATTTGCTTTCATTCTGTTTGATAGCTCATCAAACACTACCTTCATGGCCAGCGTGAGTATTCAAATTAATTATCCTCTCCTGCTTTCTATTTCTTTGTTTTTCAAGAATGAAAATTATATAGCGCATACTGTGCCACTGGATAACAACACAATCTTTCTATTGGGCACATGATGCCTTCACAGACTTGAACAATGAAACTTCAACTTTTCAACAGCTTTAAATTTCTCCAGTAGTTTGTCTTTGGCTACTTCTCTATTACTTTACTCAAGCAATTTCGCTTCTTGGCTCCCACCTTCTCCTTTTTTCCTTGTCTTTGACCATGTGAAGAGGGGCACTCCCTTGTGACTCTTGCTTTTCTGATTTTTTGCACTTACCAACTTTGTGTTTCAATCTGTAGTGAGAAACATTCCCTAGCAACCTATGTTTCCTCGTTTCATTTTTGTGCACTTCCCAACATTATATTTCAAGCTGTGGTGAATTTTGAGTTTGGGAGCTCATACTTTCTCTTTCAGACCAAGTAGTTTTGTGGAAAGTTTGAGGAACTTCATGTTTGTGTGAAATAATGCTCCAGAGATTCTCATGTTGACAAAGTTTCCCTTTTGTGCGGTGAATGACAATTGAATTTTCAAAACCCGCACTTTTGTGCATATGAGCCCAAAATTTGAACAAAATAGTGAAGTTGCATAGATGTATTGCCTAGGTTAGGGCACCCATGGCTTTATGCATCCTCAGATAGTCCATGTGCCTTTCTCAGTTACATGTGTATTTCTCTTCTGTTCTTCACATGTGTTCTCTGACATCTCATGACACTTGAGCTCTAAATGGAAATATCACATACCTTTTCTCCTCGGATCACGTTATGTTATATCTTCTAAAAGAACTCTCAATAAGAGAATTAAGAGTATTTACTATGCCCATAATTTTGATTAAGCATCAATTACTTGATACATCGGAAATAAGAGCACCTGGATCTCAGATGCTTAACAATAGCATTTAGTGTTTTGGTCTTTTTGATACTGATGAGGCGATGACTAAAATTGGCAATGCAGTGACATGTAAATTCTTATAATTGTAAGATGCAAGCAGCTTATGCATAGGTTGGTTTAGTTTGTCATAATTTCAAGTGGAATGTCACTGAATCTGGATGTCTCTTTCTGGACTCAGGATGCTGATGGGAGTGTTCCCTTCTTCTGGGGAGCTGATGCACAAGACCATCTTGTACTTTCCGATGATGCGGACATTGTCAAGAAGGGTTGTGGAAAATCATTTGCACCTTTTCCTAAAGGTACAAAATATTTGAGAATGTCATCTACCATTCAGCATACTGTTGTATCCATGATCTTTCGTGCATATCCTCATTTTCCATTTCCTGGCAGGCTGCTTCTTTACGACATCTGGGGGATTGCAGAGTTTTGAGCATCCTATGAACGAACTTAAGCCGATGCCAAGAGTTGACAGCCAAGGCCAGGTCTGTGGTGCTACGTACAACGTTGACTACATGGCTAAGAAGGATGCCGGGATGCCCAGAGTCGGCAGTTCTGCAAATTGGTCTTCCCAATTTTAACACTGCAAGCAATTGCATGCTGCCTTTGTTGTTTCTCCCTACATATATTAACCATGTCTTTTTTTCCATTTGATGTATCCATGCTTCACCTTGGTGATTGTGCACATCTTTGCAAGAATGTTTATGCTCTTGCCAAAGACCTTGCTATAGCATAAAGCATCATACCTATGTTTGGATCCCTGAACCTTTTATGTAGCAGTGATAAATCTCCCACTTGTATGTGGCAAATAAAAGTTCTTTTTACTTCTTTTGATCAATGATGTAATTTTTATATATTGCTTTTGCTTGATTTCATCTTAGTTTGAAAGGATTACTTCCAGCAAATCCTCAGAGAAAGTTATATATAGTATGATGCATGCAGCTTGAAGCAACAGAGGAATGAGACATCACTGCAGCCTTTAAACAAGGAAGGAGGCAGTTGAATATCAACACTGGCCATCAAGAATTTTATTTTCATGATGAAGATATTATTTGAAGGTTTGAGATGAACTGATACCACTACCAAAATAACAGTATTCTAATTTTTTCTTTTTTCAGAAGAAAAGGTTGCTCTCAAATATCTTTTTTCTGTCAAAATCTATGCCGGCTTTTTCTCTCACACATCTGAAAATTCTATCAGGACTTGCTGTGTTCTTTGAACTCATTGGCAACTTCTAAATGGTAGGCATGTTTCCAAGATCCCTTTGCCAGTGTCATAAGAATTTATGTAAATTGATCAAGCCTTATACATTTACTCCTTCGCTCTCTTTAATTCTCTCCAGGAAGCCTGATCATACTTTTATGGTAGTAATTAAAGAGAGACAAAATGGTTTATTGATGAACTTAGCAGATCAAAAGTTTACCTGAGATATGAATGCTTGCTGCTCTCTTTTTATATGATTATCGCACTACATCTACTTAGAAATGTCAAAATATCTTTGAATCGAAAACAAATTACTCCTGTAAATCAAATTAATCCTCATATTATCACTATTATCATACCCTCCTCAAATTCCTGCATCGACGGATCTCATGCGCTGGATACGTCCTTTACCGTCTCTATTGTTACACCTCGAAAGCATCCAATGTTAGCTCACACTAGTATGGTGGTGTCCTCCTCTTCTGTTCTCCTCACGCAACAAAAGCTCTCTTACGCCCATCACCTCCCTCCACCGGATACTCTTTGAACCTCCTTTGTTTCTTCTCTCGCTCTTCTTCCTCGTATTAACCCTTAAGAGCTTCTTTCTTTCTCTCTCAAGCACGATGGAAGCTAATATTCTTCGTTGTGGGGGGATTAAGAGGCTTCCTCCGATAAGCAGAAGACCACAAGGGATGGAGTTAGGCCATCGGATGCCACCCCGAAAGCTCCTGTCTTCTGTAGTTGAAGCGAGGGTGCAGACCGAGGAGAAGATGGTGGCAGCCACAGAGAAGACGACGTACAAAGACAACTGGTTCGACCGACTTGCCATCCGCTACCTTTCAAGATCTCTTCAAGCCACCACAGGTTCGTCATGGTGCTTACAGACAGACTAACTATGCTGATCATGGCGCTTACACTTCTTCTTCTTCTTGTTTCGACAAGCCATAGTTACTCACAGAAAGCAACTAAAAGAAACATAACAGTAATGGTTGCAAAATGCTAGACGTAGATATCAACTCTACCTACATATTAGACATGCAGATTAGGTAAAGTAATTCCCACCAATACTGATCAGACCATTAGCAATGGAGGAAAAGAAAAGAGAGCTAGAAATGAATATGTTTCTCTATTTCATCAAAACTACAGCTACAAAATACACCTTTTGGACAACATGTCACGACAGAAAAAAAATCGTAGCAATGCATAAACATCTTGGAACATTTGTTTCCAGAAAAGTTGCATACTTGTTTTGTTGCTGTGTTTTGTTGGATTTAAGATAGAGAAAGGTGTGACAGTGTTTTCTGCTGTTGGCTTGTAGAGTGCAGTTTGTGTCTCTTTTCATTTTCTTTCTTTAAAGCAGAACATGAAGATAGCTGATTTGACTCACAGGCATAAGCAACAACAAGGAAGGATATGAGAGCTTGGTTGAGGCAGCAATCATGATCTGCAAGAAAGTTGATGCCAAAGCACAGCAGGATCTGGTGATCCAATCTCTCCACAGCGCCCTTCCAGTGATCATATTAACAATGGCAAGTTACTCTTCGACCTTCTTCATCATGGTTCTGAGAAATAAAATTTCCAACATAAATGTGTGTATTTTTCTCCGACATTTGATCTGGACTGTTGGATGGTAAACCAATGGACTGATACTCTTGATCAACTAATTAATTGGAGCAAATTATTGGAGAATAAAGAGTTACCCTATAGAATCATAGGACATTAACTGAAACCATGCCCTTGACATGCTTCATATATCTTCAGAGAGACTCTCAATTCTGTAAACCCTGTTAGAGATGCAGAAACAACATGCCAATAAGAAACATGAGACAGAAGAAATCCAACGTTTCCTGCTTGTGATAGTTCACATCACAGCACATTTGCTAGATGCATGTTTTCTCCGAGCACTAGATTGCTAATGGAATTTTGGCATCAACATGTCAGATAAAGATCTTACTTCCACAGTCAACATTCACAAGAGAGATCTTTGCAGCCTTCACCACTCTGTTCTTCCCTTGGCTGGTTGGCCCTTGCCAGGTATGGGCTTTCTTACTGCACCCTCTTCCTTAATGATTTTTATCTGTAAGCAGATCTTATAAATTCATCCTTAAATTCACATTGACATCTGAGAATAAAAAAGACCCTGGATTAGTAAGCATTTGAATGCATCGATCTGAAGTGACATTTCAATTTGCCAAGGAAGGTCAGGAAATCAGAAGTCAAAGGAAAGACAGAGAAGAATGTGGTGTACATCCCTAAATGCAGGTACTCTTTGATCCCTTGTTCATATCTCAGACAACGAAAAACAAGAAATGAAAAGATTATGCAATTATATACGGTAGAATTCATACATCTCATCTGTTCATTGTTAAGACTTTGTGAAGTTTTGCTTCTGCCATGCAGGTTTCTGGAGAGCACCAACTGTGTAGGGATGTGCACAAACTTGTGCAAGGTCCCCTCCCAGAAGTTCATCCAGGATTCACTCGGCATGCCTGTCTACATGGTTCCAAGTATGAGTCTTACTCTATCACTCTCGGACAACCCTTCAAAATTGCATATCATATATACCAGACGATTGTCTTCCCTCGGATACTTGTACTCGCTATGGGAGGACAAGTAGGCCACATCGACAGTAGATTGCACCATCTTTTACGAACAGTGGATGCACCATCCCTGAAGGAAGAAAAGGGAGGAGGAGGGGTGGGAGATTGCACCATGTTTCCGTGAGTTGAGGTCCACAGAGCAACCATTTAGGGAACAAGAAAAATAGAACGAGATCCACAATGGGAGTATAAAATGCTTTGCGTCACCTTTTCCCTCAATGTTTCAGAGCGAAGAGCTCCCCTGTCTGCAGTCAGCCATTGTCGTGCTCCATGCTCTTCCATTCATTCTAGTGTCCGAGAAGAAACATCGTTCCCTCATTTGCCATCACATTCCATGAGACATCTACACTTGCACCGTCAAGTCTCACTCACGACAAGCACTGGCTTGTTCAAGTTGAGCATTGAGCTCCAGTAGATGCTGCACAAGCAGCAACTGATATTTTCGAGTAATATGTTTATTTTCTATAGATTTACAAGATACAAGTGATCTAAATCAAATGGTTACGATTGCTGAATCCCAGATTTTGAAGACCTGAGCTGCGAGATGGTCTTTGGTCAGCAACCTCCTCTTCATGACCCCACGTTGAAGCAACCATGCTACCACAAGTCCTGTAATGGCATCGATCCCAGCACGTTGACAGGCAAAAGAATTCATCCCTTGACTTCTTCTAACTACGATCTTATTTGGCCACTGTTTGCAGGCATAACAAAGCAGAAACATGGTGTGAACTGCTCCAGTGGATGAAAGAGAACTGGCAGCACTTCATCCTACGACGCAGCAGATTACACTGTATTAAATATGCAGTTGATTTAGTCTTTCTTTCAACTGAAAATATATGTACTGTCGATCAGAAGGTGATGGGAATACTGTTTACATGTCATTTGCTGTCGAATTAAATATGTAGAACAAGACACATTTCAGTCTCCGAATAATTGTGATGTGACGCCCTTTAATACCCCTTTTGGTTTGACTTTTCTTTTTAGAATCTTCTCACAGGATCTAAATAATGAATCACAAGAGAATCTTATCATCGAGGAACTGCGTTTGTCGAATTCATCCCCACTAATGGTAGGTGAGATCAATAGCAATCCACAATTACGATATGGGAATTGGAGAGTAAGACCATCAGTCAACACATCATGTGCATGCTTAAAGCAACATAAAGCGCGAGTTAGGGCTAATCGAGAAACCTTTTTTCCATGGGAATGCCATAACTAAGTTTTCTATTAGGAAGACGATGAAGGTTTATTCCACGTACGGACTTCTGACTGCATTCTTACGGCAAACAATGGCAAATCTCCATTTAGTTTACGGAAACTTTTGACAGTCCTTTTGCGTGCAAAGCCATTGTCCATGAAGAACTGAAGAATGATAATTTGATATTTCCAAATGCCAACTATCTGAACTCATTGATCTTAGGAGGATTCAACTAAATCCGGATTGAAACTGGCACCAAAGAAGAATAGGGAGGAGGAATGGGTAATTGCGCCATAGTTTCTGTGAGACGAGGACCACCAGGCAACCATTCAGGGAACAAGAAGAATGGAACTGATGTCCACGAGGGGAGTATAAAATGCTTCACGTCACCTTTTTCCGCGGACATTCCAAAGCGATGACCTTCCCTGTCGGCAGTCCTCCATGCAATGAATAAAGATCGATCCCATCAGCCATTGTTGTGCTCCATCTTCTTCCATTCATCCTAGTGTCTGACAACAAACTGGATGTTCCAGTGACAGGACAGCAATACACTGTTACTGTCAAATCTCACTCATGACAAGCACTGCCATTCTCAAGTTGAGCTTTGTGTAGATGCACAACTAGTGCTCCCTGTTGCTGCTAATATCTCAACATCTGCGGCTCACATCTCTGGATTTTATTGAAGAGGATATTAGATGCTCTTTGTTAAATGTCGTAGTTGCAAGTACATAAAGAAAACACATGAGCTTCAGAGAGGCTTGGCAATGAACGGATGAGAGCAGACGACGGATGTGAAGCAAAAGGTGATGGCATTGCTGCCTGATAGAGTCTCATCATCGAATCACAAGAGATTGTCATCATGGAGGAACCTCTTTGACTCTCCGCTTGCTCTAATTACATCTAAATGATATGACAGGCATATCTGTCATTATCTATAGACCTCTAAGAGAGTAGGAAACGCGAATGATTCCGCGGGACTGCTCACCTCACTTGTTGGACCAGATGCAGATGCAGATGCAGTAGCCAACAAGCAAGCATGTTACAGGGATCTGAGATGACCCAGATGCTCCACTAGGATTTCCATGGATTCACTTCTCGGTGGACTCTGAACTGATTGCCCCAACCAGAGAATGAGCAAACAGGCCGATCCACTCTCTGACCTCCTAAATGGCGAGTGGCCATGACAATTTGGTGCCGTTGGTTGTAATTGATATGCCTTCAAGAACTATAGGGCAAATGAGTCGTTGACCAAGAAAACCTTGGAAACTCACATAACCGTTCCTCTTTGTGTTAATATTCGCATATTCCATATAATAATGATTCGTATCTCACACCATGATGCTGACATAATCCCTCGGCCTCAACCTGTGCCTTAACACTCCGCTAAATTCCTAATTGGGCCTTCTAGTAGGTACAACAATTGGCCAATTAAGGGCCCGTAATCTCGCTTCACTGTTGTACATAGATCGGGCTCAACAGGTATGGGCCAATATGGCCCATTAATACCTAGTAAGAGATTGGACTCGATCCGTTCCTGCCCGCTTTGCCCCCGGCCGCTCGAATTGGCCAACCGCACTTCACCGCCATCCCCGACGGCGGAGTTAGCCGGCGGCCGCGTCGAGTAGATCTTCGCCACTTCCCCCTCGCGGCGTCGCGTGGACTTCAGCTTGGTTCGTGAACCCTCACCTGTAGCGCCACCAACGGCGGAGGGGGATTCTGTGTGCCGATAGTTCGGTTTGGCTTGATCGTGGAGCAGACGAAGGGCGGCGTGGCCACGAGGTTGGAGGAAGGGACGACGAAGATGAACGCTTGGGCGGCGACGGTGAGTGGATCCGTACTTTGTGGTTGATTCTGTGTTTTGCGCCTTTGGTTCGGCCAAATGGCAACCTCGTTGTCTGCCTTCTACTCTTTACGCGTCGATGCTCGCCACTGGGGATGGGCTTCTGTTGGTATTTGATGACATCTACAGGGCACTTCAGGTAATCTTGCGAGAAATGTAGTGTGGAATATGATTCTTATGCTTGATTTGAGCGATCAGGAGTCCTATCTATGAGAAGTATGTACAAGGATAAGGTAAACATGCAGTTTTTGTCTTGGAAAGAAGGAAATCAGCGTAAGCTATCTAGGGATCAGGTGATATATCGAGAAGGAGAATATGGATGAAACTGAATCTGAAAAGCAGTTATAACATGAGAAAAGGGAAAAAAATTGTGATCATTGTTTGAGAGATTACGGTACTGAAAAGGTCAGACTTTTCAGAAAGATCAACAGAAGGGTAAAAAAATATTAGGTGGAGAATCTCAACAGACAGTACTTCCAAATGGTTTTGCTAGTTCTGATTTGAGATCTCTGCCAACATCTTTGATGATCCAGAAATTGATTAGAAGAGTAAAAGAAATGAGAAAGAGGTCGGCGATGCAAGTCTGAGATGACAGAGTAGACATACTGTTAGGTTTATTATTTTGGTATTTTGCTGCTTAATCAAACATGAAAACGTGCATTCAAGCTTGAAAATGATTGAGTTTTAAACAACTCCCTTACACTTTAAAGTATAACATCTCATTGAGTATCTGAATCTAGAATAACCAGTTATATGATTTGGAACTCAACAACATTGGATCCTAACAATGTGCTTCTCCAAGTTTTAAGACACAAAAGGAAAACCAAAATGGATATTAAAAATCTACTATCTTTTAAACTGTGAATGTCAAATCCAATACTGATTTGTCTGGGGAAAGTCTCAAGTGCACCTAGATGTGAATGGTTTCCTTGAACTACATATCATGCACGAAAAAATAGGGGAAATTGAGTTTTTAAAAATTGTGCTCTGACTCATTTCTTATAGATTGTTATGGTATCAGTTGATTAATATAGCACTGATTTTTTCACGAGGAATGTTTTACAAAATCTAATATAACTTATCAGAATAATGCAAAAGTAAATCATTAGTAGTGCAGAATTAAAATACTCATGTATATTATGTTCCTTGAAGACATATGGTGTGCATGATCATTCTTATGCCCACGACTCGTTAAACAGTTTGGTGCTGATATTTGTGTTGATTCAAGAGAATTGTTTGTGTAACAAGACAACTGTCATTAGACTCATAACTATAGAATACGTAAATGCAACCTTGCTTTCCTGAACTGATTTTTGAGTTTCTGCACTCAAGTCATGAAATCTTAATTCAACTTTTCTGGGTTTTCGTGCATATATAGGCGTCTAAATTTAATCCATGACAATGTATCAGAAAAGGGTGACTGGTCACCCAGGTCACAATTTATTCACTATAAAAAGGGTCAATGTGCATTGTTTCCAACATGTTATTCATCAGGATTGCATGTTCCAACCATGCTGGCTTTTGCTGGTTGGCACTGATTTTGTCGGCAGTGGTATCTGCATGATTTATCACAAGAATTTGCTGACACAACAATATATTGGCATAATACTTATGGCAGCCAGCATGCCTCTGATCTTGTCTGAGATGCATTGTGCCAGCACATTACCCGCAAGGACGAATCTATTATATGTGTGGCTAAGGAGAGAAAGATTAGCAGAGGACTTAAGCTTCAGAAGAACATTTGCCCAATTATTAAGATGACCAAGTGTCCTTTAACTCATCTAATCTGCAGACAATCATGAAAATTTACTATTTCGTTGAGCTTGTAGTATCTTGCTGAGCTTTGCTAAGCCTGTCTTTTCCTATAGCATTATGACTTTGCATATACGAGGAATCTACGCGGCTATAAGGAATTGATCAGTATCCTATAGCCAATTTTCAGTGAAAAGACATAGTTTTGTTATTTTCTTTTGCAACATCATTAAGCTATTTGACTTTTTTAGTCCTTCTAGTTGTTGTCTTCTCAATATTTATTCTTGTGAAACTAGATAGGAATGAGAACTTATTTTCTTTTTAATTCAGAATGGCTAGTATGTAAACGGGAAACACAAAACTTGTGTTTCATCTTCATCTAATTTCATTCTCCCTTGGTCTCATTCCAACTACTTGCACTAAGATGAGATTTGGAGAGTATGACAAAGGTTGTTAATGATTGATATCTGTGGCACTACGTATCCTATATGGATTGCTGCACCACAACCTTGTCATTTGGCTTCATGAAATTAGTCACTTCTATCATTTTGCTCTTTGGAAGCCTTTTTTCTTATATAATTTTTAGTTGGAGGGATCCAACTCATAACATTTATGCTGGCTATTCAACCACAGGATGGTGATGTAGTTGTTACTTCTACAGATTTCTGAACAAAAATTATATCAGTTGATAATCTAAAACATACTAATGCAGTGTGACACTCTTGCAAATTTTATTTTTCTTTTTAAATGTCTCTTGCAATAACATAATTGCACTTCAAATTGTTATTTTTTAATGTGCAATTATGTTTTAACAGTGAGCATAAGTGTTATTTTTCTAATTCTGTCTATTAAAGTCTTTATAGGTTTTATTTCAGTTTATTACCATCCTACTACTATTCATTATGGTTCACTACAGTAAAATTTCAGTCTTGTTGATTGAGTCTACTCTCTATAAACATGGGCAGCTGAAAACTTTTTTGTTCTTAAGTTATTTTAGATATATCTCTACTTATTTATATACTGATAGAACAGCCCTTTTAAATAAAAAAATAAATGAAACTGTTAAGATTCAAGTTGCTACATGTAAAGAGAAAAAAAGCCACTGCCATGTATGAAAACTCAAACTGCAGCTTGCAGTTCCTTTCTAACTGCAGTAAAATTCTTCCTAATCTCTTCAATCCTTTTTGTTGTCCTTCTGTATGATACAAGAGCTCAAATTTGATGATGCTATCTATCTTCTTCAATTAGACTGTACAATTATGCTCATGAGGATTGATTAGACAATGCCCATTCTTTTTTCCTTATCTTTTCTCTTTTTCTATATGATAAAAGTATAATAAAGAACTTGTATGACTTGATAGAAGATAAATAATTGCCAATTGAACATGTGGTGGTTCCTGTCTCGATATCAGGTATTAGCTGAGTCAAATCTCTGGAATAATTAGTCATGGTTACTAGTCTCTTTAAAAGTATCAAGCTAAATTTACAATTTCAACCTTCCCTTTGTGATTATTGAAATTGTCATGTTCTTTATAATAGAGAATCTGCAGGGCTCTTTATTTCACTTCAATAAGTAACAAATTACAGCCGATCTGTACCAAACTTTCATGCCAAATCTGCAATATCTCAACAACTTCTACCTGCTTTCTTGCAGACTACTTTGTGTTCCCATTCAGCTTTCCCAGACAAGTGTTACATTAGAGACATGTGATTCCTACATTGTACTAACTCCACCAATGTCCAGGCTTGGATAATCTTTTAGGGGATCTAACAACTTAGAATTCACTGGCATTATATGATATTTTCAAACAAAAGCCCAAATGACTGCAGATGACCAACCAACTCCACTTGATGCATCAGTACACATCGTAGCAAGTGATTATTTTAAGTCATTTAGGGTCTGCATATAGACTTCCAAACAAGACTATCCCTTCCTAAGAATTCCCCTCAGTAACTATCATCGGCATGTTTATGCTCTTTCTAAGAATCTCAAGCTCTAAGAGGTAATTTTGAACCTCCAGCTTGCTAAGCATAGTTTTGATCTTTTTTCACCATGTCTGGAGCATTTGGCAGATAAATTTGTTGTACATCCTTTCCTGTTATATGCTAGTATAGTCTTCCTAGCTTCTTCACTCACTAAATATTGCAAGAAAAAGAGATGTTTCTTTAAGAACTAGTTTATTTGTTTAGATTTTGTTATTAAGCTGATCTGTTGCAGGTTCTAAGTATGAGAGGTGAAGATGATGACGGTGTCGTGTTACAGCTGGTCTCTGGTACCCCAAACCTGTCATTTGAGGTAATATTATAAACATAAGTATAGACTCAGTAAGTTCAATCCACCATATTTCTTGTCTAGATGTTCCTTATTTGATGTTCACAGAAGACCTAAGTTGATCTATTTTAGTTTTGTATACAACTTGTGAGTTCCCTTGTGTCTTGGTGACATATTTGTTTTTCCTATGTTCATTGTTTTCGGTGCCAAACTATGCTAAGAATCACTATGCTTCTTGCCAATCCTCCCCATCCCACCTCCATTCTTCCTTTTTTTTCCGTTCTGTTTCTTTTTTCTCTCCCACCCTCATCTTGTTTCTTCTGCCCTCATGGCTTCAATTTCTTATTCCTGCAGTGTTTACTAGTGTAGAATGGCCTGTACCTCGAGACATTTAAAATTCAATATTTTGATCATATGTTTCGTATTCCGTGGAAATTTTTTTTGTTCATCAAAGCAATCCCTGGTTACTTTTTCATCCATATGTTTTAATCACCCCTAGATCTCAACCTGCACAAAATACATATGCAAATTGAAACATTTGTAACTACAGAAATATCTTATATATTTCAGCCTAGCACCATTAGTATGATGACAAACAATATCTTAAGAAAGGGCTGAAGCATATATATGGTACAAAATACTGCATGACAAGTGTCAATGCAGCATTTTGGTCAGTAAGTATCCAGAATAACTAGTGTTTTATTGTAGTGTACAAATAATAATCTCTCTAGTGCATCTTTGTCTTATGAGGTCAGACCATCAAAAGAATTCAGTGCTCTTATATTAATCGGTGTTAAATATCGAAGACATTTCCAAAAATAACCTGTCAGAAGCAAGTTCTCTCAATCTGATATGTCAAATAATGGCCTATGGGAATTTGTTAAGACTTTGATCAAACAATCCTCACCCTTTTAGTTAACGCCAGAGCAAATGCTATTGATTACCTGTTGCTTTTATGTTCACAGGCTGCAATACTTGCATATTCAGCATTTATCGATATCATAGCTCTGATCTCATCAACTTTCATGAACTTGGCATGTGACACCTTGTGATCGATTTTCCCTTTGTTGTGTTTTTTTTTGCTTGTGGTTGTTGCGTCTACCTTTACTTCTGTGCATGCATGGCAGTTGCAAGTTTATAGGATTCTTCTGCTCAGGACCCAATCTTTTGATCTGACATCTTATACCACTTTTCTCCTTTGATTATGTGAGCCTGCAACCTCTTTCCTGTTTTGATTGCATGTGAACTTATTCCTCAAGTGTGCAATTGGTGCATGGCATTCCTGTCTGCCAGTTCAAGACTTCTATGTCTCTGTGTAACACTCCTCGTTCATCTTATCACCAGGAGGTAAGTAAAGACGGAAGTAATCTGCGCTTTCGATTTAATTGTTCAGCTGACAGCAATGAGGGTCAAGGAATGAAGCTCGTGAAAGAAGATACAGGAGCAGGAATGCGGTCGCTCTACTTCAAAGTCCTCGGCATAATGCCAATGTCTGTTATTGCTGCTTCTATCCACCGCTCCTACCACCAACTTGAGACCCTCAAACTCGAGCCAGAGCACAATGTGGCTTCATAGCCATGGCAGCTCGTCGGAGTCTGCACGTGCCCATGGACTACTCCTGCATATAGCTCCAAACTATACTCACGATCGATGCATCCTAATCTACCTCCATTTCAACAGAAGCATCATCCAATGCCCGTATTACGTCCATCCTCTTCTGTTTTTTTGTCAAGGTAGGTTGATAAATCGGTGCAATATCAAGCTTGAGTTAGGATTGTGTGTGTGTTCTTTTGGGGAATGTATGGGAAGAATTGTTATTTGCCTGCTTGTACATTGTGTTTGTGGTGGCTGTAGTGCGGTGGCTTCTCTTTCTGTTCTTGGACGGTGTAGAAAAAGTTAATGCAAATCTATATTTTGTGTACGATAATATACTAAATGGATGCTGTTGGAAGTATTGGTTGTAATGTCTTGGGACAGCATTGCAGTGCTTGTCAAGGAACGGGAAGGGATTCACGTAGTTTGCATGGTGGTGGGTGAAAATTTTACTTTCGGGATCGTTGACCGGTAAAGCCCTTTGACCTAATACCTATAAGCAACTTCCTAAGCAAATCACGCGGAAGGCTAGATTAATATCATTTTAGCCATTGTGATTTTGATCATAGATCATTTAAATCATATTTATTCGTATCTAAAATATTTTTTTATATTTTTAAAAATATAGTATATAAATTTTTTCTATCAAGTTTGATTTAACAGACGTTAGATTTTGTTTACGTGTAATTAAAATTTTAAAAAAAATTATTTTAATCTTTATGGTTTTTTTTATCATGAACAAGTACTTATGATTTTGTTCATGTCTAAAATAACTCTTATATTTTAAAAAATATAACATATAAGTCTCTTTTGTAAAGTCTAAGTTAATATATATTAAAATTTATTTACATGATATACTGATTTATAATAAATTATTAATATAATAACACGTATAATTTAAATTATAAAATTGAGATCGTCATCAATGGTGAGAGGAGACGTCGTCGTGGAAGTGACCACGTTGTTGCTTAGCAGGGCGTCGTACGTATGTAGCCTCTCTCATGCTTACGATAAGCTTAGGAACTTCTAGTCTTGCTTCAAGCAAATGTGTGTCGACCAGTCTAACATTATGCATGTAATGGTCTCCTAGTCTCTCTTTCTCCTCCTGGGTATCTTTGTCTCCACCGCCTCCCACTTCGTCATCTCCTGCATCCCCGCCAATCGTGTCTACGACATGGTGGTCTAGTTCTCCCTCACCTCCGCCTCCGGCCTCTCCTACCTATATCTCTCCGCCTTCGTTTACGGTTATGATCTCCGTCACTTCCTCTTCCTTAATAAGATAGATTTTTTTAAAAACTTAAATTATATATATCATTATACTAATAATTTATTGTGAGTCAGCATGCCACGTAAATAGACTCTAATGTCTATCAACTTAGATGTGACGGGAGGGGCTTATATGTTATATTTTTAAAAATATATAGATTATATTAGATATAAGCAAAACTATAAGGACTTAAGTGATCAATGATTAAAACTATAGAGGCTAAAATATTTTTTTAACTTAAATTATACTTATCATTATATTAATAGTTTATTATAAATCAGCAACATAAATAAATTCTAACATCTATTAACTCAGACTTGATGGGAGGGACTTATATGCTATGTTTTTTAAAATATATGAATTATTTTTAGATATGAGTAAGCTATAACGACTTAATGGTGCATGATCAAAATCAGATAAGTTAAAAAATGAACCTTAATCCTATATGAATTTGTTTAGCTTAGACTTTTTGGTACAACCGGTGTATATGAATTTTCCCGAGAGAGTATGTTATCTCCTCTCTTTAAAAGTGAGGCCCTTCGATCCGATCTGTATTGATGAGAATCTAATGTACTACTATGTACTACTGTATATGTTCTTTGGCTCAGAGGATTTGGCCTATCCCGGTACAGAACAAGGTCACACTATACGCATAGAAAAATCATGGTTATTGGCGGCAACATAGCCATACACGGTGAAACTCTTGAAGTTGCTGTGATTGTTTTATTGTACCTTTCTGCTACTAAAATTATGGTGCATTGCCTCACCAATAGTGAATCTTCTCGAGGCAGGGATGAAGTAGTTGAGACTAAGAATGGGTTGACGAGGGTGATTTCGAGGTTATCTCAAGATGAAGCTATAGTGAATTCGATCTTTGTTGGGACCTTAGCACAATAGATCGATGTCGAAAGAAATTCTTGATCTGACCCATCTTATGCTTAAGTTAACTAATGAGGAATTGACTCTATATTTGGTGGGGGTTTTCTAAGACCAATCTCCCTTTAGGTGTCGGAGATAGAACCGCTCGTATCTATTATGGCACATTCGTGCGAGCAGCCGACCCGTATATGCCCCTGCTGCATGGGTCAACCTGTCCAAGCTCCTGTGGCACGACATCGATCAGTACTGCCCCATGCAGTGGGGGGCTAGTAAGGATAGACGAGGAAGTGCCAACCGCTAATATAGTCCTCTCCCATGTCAAATAAATGTCGTGCTATCCTCAATATTAATTGCTCGACGATTGTTGACTGACGACTTAATACTGAAATATTATGTTCGTCCTACTTTTCAAAAACTTTGACAGATACAAAACCCAAATACCATATGTATCATAAGTACCTTCACTTATGGATTATGAGAATAAAAATATGATTGATAATTAAAGATTATAAATAATAAAATTATATTTTATTATTTTAAAATATTAAAGTAATAAAAAATTACAATAGCAAAATAGGGGTTGTCAAAAACAAACTTGTAAGCACTCTCTATAGAACAGATCTTTCATCCCAAAATAATACACAAAGCATTAGTACATCGTGAAACAAAACCAACGTCACCATTCAAATTATAATCCATGTCTTATCCAATAACTAATGAAATAGTACGATGAATACATCGAATCGAATGATCGGGGAAAAGACATGGAACGAACTGACAAAAAATCATCATAACAAAAAGAAGAGGTACTAAGATTATTTGCCCTTTATGGACAAATAAGATTAGGACGGATCCTTTTCCAGAGTAGAGTAGACCATCAACCGAAACGAATTGAAATGACCCATTCAGGAACAAGAAAATTACCTATATTCGTGCATGATTTCTTGTTCCTCCCGACAGAAAATACAAAGGTGTCCATCAGACCTAATCAGTCTAAGTCAGAAGACCATCTATCTCGATTTTATATAATATTATCTTAATTTTAAATAGGATTAGAAGCTGTCATAAGAACCATCACAGATCCGAGAATCCAAAAAGCATGAGAAAGGTCCTTATGATGTCGCTCATTAAACCCATCTTAGATGCAAAAGGAGTAATCATACATGCATTACACATTCCTACGGACATGCATGAGGCTCAACACCAGTATTTTAAGCATTGGAAGTGTGAATACTCACACCTCGGTCAACGCTACCCACCCAATCCCATAACTCAATTCAATGTCAACGTTATGCTGTTGTATACACACAAGAATCGTATCAAACGTAAAACGCGGAGCACAAAGCATCAATCTAATCGAGTGAATGCTCATGAAAGCACACAGTTGCTTTCTACCATCTAATCATGCACATATCATATTACCACATGGCATCCAAACCACACCAAAATAAAACAAAAATAAAATAATAAAAACCAAAACCTAATCTAGAGAGAGAGAGAGAGAAGGGGGGAGGGGGAGGGAAGAAGGGAAATAAAATACACTGCCCCAAAAAGAGTAGGGAAAACAAAAATTAAAACGGGTGATGGCTACGAGTAATCCCATTCACATTGGCGAAGAGCCCAACCAAGTCCTTCTTGTACGGGAGGAACGACCGCCGGGCGGCGCCACTCCTCGTCGCCTGCCCGCCTTTCCCGTAATATATCCTGTAGGCGGTGACTACATCCACCTCGGTGCCCTTACCCGCCTTCCCTCTTGTCTTGGTCGCCCCCCCGTCTTTGCCCTTTCCTGCCTCGACCTTGGTTCCGCGGCTAGGGCTTTCCTTGCCCTTCTTCTCCGCCGCCGCGAGGAACACGAACTTCTCCTTCCCGTCGCTGTGGCTCCGCCCGAGCACCAGGTCCCGGAGCCGCCACCTCAGCGAGGACCCGGTGGATCTGCTCTTCCGGCACCGAGACGGCGACGGCGTCGCCGACGACCTCGGTGCCCATACGCAGTACGTCCCCGGGGGGATGCCCTCGAGCTCCTCCGCCGCCGCGGACGAGGACGAGGAGGACAAGGCCGAGGCGGGATTCTCCGCCCGCTCCTCGATCAAGAGCCGCCGGAGTGTCCCCCGCAAGGCCGAGGTATTCTCCTCCCCCTCCCCTGGCGCGGGCGCGTCACTGCTGCCGAGGCGGTCGTCGTCGAGGAGGGCGCGGTTGAAGACGGGGTAGATGGGGCGGATCCGGCCGTCGGCGAAGATCTCGTCGGCGTACATGGCGGCTCCGGTCTCCGGGTCCTTGATAACGACGGCGAATTCGAAGTCGTCGTCGTCGTCGTCGACGTCGACGTCGGAGTCATCGTCCCCGCCGTCGTCCGGAGGCGGCGGTTCTTGCTGCGAGGACTCGCAATGGACGGCAGAGAAGGCCTCCTCAAAGGTCACGCGGAAGCTGGGTGAAGCCGTGATGAGCGGTACGTCTCCCTCTCCTCCTCCTTGCATCGCTTCCGGTTCGTGTATTGTCTCGTCTGCGATCACTTCTTTTTCTTCTCCGATGGGATGATCCGATCAGAAGCTCACGGGCAGGGGTGGGGGGGGGGGGGGGTTGATGGACGGAGAGACGGGGGTTGGCGGCGTTAATAAAGGGGACGCGGTGGTTAGTGAGGTAAGCGTTGAGCTAAGCGGGCGGAGGCTTGGCTTGGAGGTTTTCGTGCGGGAGAAGCCACACGCGTCAACGGGAGGGGTATACGGTTAGGCACGCGTGAGGGAGGGTTTGTTTCTGGAAAGACAACTGGCACTTATGAGAAGGTGACGTCATAGCTCTCGACATTGGGGTCGTGGGATGCGGAGGTGGAATTCCACCTGCGGTTGGTGGAGACGGTTGGGGCCCAAGCTAGCTGGTATCTCATCTTCTGGACGCCCGGGGAAACCTGGAATTAATAAATCCCTTAAAAATCGTGCTTTATTTTTATGTGAAGCACAATGGATGATGAAAGCAATAATACGATGATGACGTGTCAAGGTGGTGGCGTGCTTCACGACAGGAGGGAATAAATGATGTTATGCCCGTCCCAATCCCAATTAATTTCGGAAATTACTGGGACAAACACACGATGAGTTTGGTTTGAAATTGTCATTCATAAATGTGAGTGCATATGATAAACGAGTGAAGGTGCAATGTATAATATGGGTGGACGAGAGGGTAACGTGTTGTTAAGAGTAAGTCAAAGTTATGTTCGTTACAGCATTGAGGAACGGGGATTTCTTAGGCCGGTTGTTTAAGATTATAAGAGTCAAATTCTACGCCGAACGTAGATTAACTTTCTCTGGCTTTCTAACGTGGAGCTCTACCGATCGCCCTATCGGTGTTCGGTATCGCTATTTGCCAAAGGTTGATGTCGTCTCCAAAGCACAGGGGGGAATCTGGACTCGGAAGACTTCCACGAAAGAGGTTACGATGACGCACCTGAATAAAGTTGATGCTTGGTGGTGAAGTGAGTCGTGGTCCAAATCCGATGGAAGTGCTGGGTTCGGGACTGGAATCGCGACCGAACACGCATGTGGACGTACCCATGAAGTGGAAACCAGAACGATGGAGAGAGTGATATGATGCCGACGTATCACATGGAGTGTCGTGCAGCGGGCGAACCGCAGCGTCGAGCGTGGGGTACTATTCCCACTTCCGGAGACACTCGGTGGCAATTGTCCTTGGGAATGAATCTTATCCGGATGAAGAATGCGTAATGATTTGAGCTAATTTGATTTGAGCATTGTTATATTCAATTAGATAGTAACGAATGGTGTCTGATTTCACTTAGTATTGGAGATGTGGAAGAATCGAAGTTGTGGAAAGCTACCCGTTGATGGCATATTAAGATGTATATCTACCATTAATTGATCATTTTATGTTATATTGATTTAACTTTATATAGATTCGATGAATATGTAATCGTTAATTTATATTGATACGCGAGCATAGTAAATAGATACTATGATAGTACATCATGTCCATTTGATCATCGATATGTCAATCGAATCATAGTCTCTCAAAGTCGACACTATGATGCTGATAGGATTTTGATAATCCTAAGCTCAAAACAAGTCATGACCTTATGATTTTAGTTGGATGATTCATCGTATGATCTCATAATTCATTGATAGTCGAACAATTTATATAATTATTCTTAATATTTATCTTAATCTTGACTTAATACTCACTCTAACATGCTATACAAGGAGTCCCTAAGGACTTTTTTTTAACTTTCTTGTATTTTATTTTTGAATCTCCTACTAATTTAAATATTAGAGCGATTTTTGTTGAATGTATCCCCGATATAATTCATGAGGATTGTTATTTGAATATCAGGTCCCTAAATACCTAAGATGATCTCGAAAATGAAACCCATTTGGCTTTGAACTCTTTCTCCATATATTATATTATAGACAACTGGAATTTAACATAACTGAGGCTAACTTATAAAGATTTGATTAGTATATACTCATTAATTTATATGATTCTAGATTTATTAATTAGTGAGTCAATTCCTCTATTAAATCGAATCACGACAACATTGAAGTTTATATTAAGCACCTTAATTTAACGGTGGTCGACTTTTTTACTATGGCGATGATAAGTTCTACAAAGATAGAAGACGTTTTTATCGGAGCTCAAAAGATGGGAAAGGTAAAAATCCATCCAAAAGCTCAAGAGATAGGATAGAAAAAGAAGTGGGTGAAGGGAATGATAACGACAAGATGAATCGATTGGAATTTGGTATGCGTATTCTAGTCATTTCATAGAGTCGGATTTGACATGGATTGGTGTCATGCTATTCATGTGTATCCTATGCATGTCACTTGAAGTGTCTCTCGCAAGAAAGAGGTTGATCGGAGAGTATGGAAGCGGAACATGTTATGAGCCACCGAAGTCTTCGCCCACACCCCCGAAGAGTTGTCGTCATGTTGCCAGCATTAGGCATTCCGTCTTCTGGAAGGTCTCCGTTTCCCTTTACCCAATTGGGAGCGTTGTTGGGTTGGATTCTGTCGGATACCAACACCACCTAACATAATGGATCTGATTTAATGGATCCGGTAAGGGCCTTTCATAGTAAGTAAGACACGAGGCAATTGCATCTGAGGATGTGGTTAAAGATTGAAAACGGTTACAAACTTTATTCGATCATAAACATGATCATGATCGTGCAACGTCGAACTTAGAAGACATGAGGTAATGATTGCCTAAGTCAGCCTTTTTTTTTTGTGACGTGATCGATTTTGAAGGGTTGAGTCAGCCTCCCAATTTGTGCAATGCAATGACCACACTAATCGAACGAGGCTGAGGTGTCAACCCAATATTCATAATCCTCTTATCACCAATCAAACTAATATTCATAATTAAATTAGACTCGAGTCATCATTATTATGTGAGAGGATAAAAGAATTTGGGAAGAAGAACTAAAACAATAAGAATGATCTCTATGTGGTTAAAACTAAATGTTTAATATAATTTTATAAATTATTAGTCTAACCCATTTTGACAACTATAAAAATAATATAATAATATAAATTATAGTTTAAAATATCTTATAAATAATAAATTATTTATTACAATTCATATTCCAGTCATTTTGGTAATAACTACTCAGGTAAAACTTAGAGATATAAGTTATAAATAATATTCACTAATTTTTTATCAATCTAATTTATATATAAATAATTTAATAAATAAAATAATAATTATTAAACATTAATCAACATAAAAAAAAATTATGATGGCTATAATCATGATAAAACATAAATCATACCTTTATATAAAAAAATAAAATATTATTTAATAATTTTAAATATATACATATGAAGAACTACACAAATATCGAAAAAATTTAAAATTTAAATATCATAAGTAAATTTTTTACCAATATATCATATGATAAAACTATGAAAGAAAAATATAATTTATGATTTTTTATTTAATAAATAACCTAAATGAGAGAATTAGTCTTATTTAAGTAAACATTTCATAATTGAGTCAAAATTAAGCTATCCAGATTAGACCCAACAACCAATCTAATTAAATGAATCATAATTAGGTTTAGTCAAAAATCCAATTTAGAAACAAATTGATCAAAGATTGGATTAAAATTAGGCTTCAATCAAAATTTGATTAAAGCATGTCAAATTGGTCAATTTTATAGTTGAAGACCTAAGTCAAAAATACTTAATTTTGAAAGGATAAAATTATACTTTTGTTAAGATATATATTGAATATATCTAATTTCTGAACCTTAGAAGTGTCAAGGTCAATTTCGATTGAAATTAAAAAATATAGAAGGGTAAAATAGTCTTTTAATAGGTGAAGAAAGGCCTACTGTCACCACGGTGGGTAGTCATCCGTTGCCTATGCATCGTCAACCCGAACTCCCCTCGCAACCAACTAGCGATCCCTTTTCGTAGTGCCCATATCCGCGAATGACAAGCGAACCCTAACGGTTGCTGTGCAATCGTTGAGCAACCTACATTGGTGGCTACTCAATGGCTGATGACTTGGCACAGGTACTAGCGACGCATTGGAGAAATATTGCATCGATCATTATGCTACGCGCTTGAGCCGCTTTGAACCGTGGCCACCACGTAGTGATCTCCTCAATGCGATGACTATGCTAATGATGTAGCACTGCAAGTGGATTGCCACTGCCATCCGCAACAATCGAAAAAAGCCACCATCGCGCATTGTTGTGAAGCACAACCACCTAGATTGCCCAACCAGAGCCGCACACAAGCATCTTCCCATGACATCTCCATCACACGATCATTGTGCGAACCTTCATCCGTTCAATCGTGGGCTGCAAACTTGTTTTATGGTCGCTTACCTCTCTGTGTATGGCGATCGTCAGCTCAAAAAGCATCTTGGCATTTGTCCGTCCTCTAGTCTAGCGTTGTATGTAGCAATGTTGACGTCTGCATAGTTACTGCCTACGGTTGGGCCGACGACCACAGTTGTTAGCCACCCTTCGTAATGTCGTCATTGATAACAAATTTCAATGACAACTAATCGATTAAACATGGATAGCATATTGTCCCGACTCTACCTACATAAGACAAAAAATCTTACATCACCCATAAGTAGGCGAAAAGACGAATGAGATAGAAAAATAAATTGATAACAGAAACGATTGTTCAATCATCATACAAATAAAATCGAATAACATTTTTTCACAAGTGAAGGGTTATTAACAAATAGTTCTAAATACAAAATAGATATAATATACTTTTATAATATAATATATTTAATTTTAAAATAATAAATTTGGATACCAATTATAAAGATAAAAACTATAAATAAGATATTGTTATTGCTAATCATAGGTGTCCTGCAAGCCAATCACGTAAGTTATGGTACGTGTGACATAATATATACTATTTTTATTTATTATATTATTTAATATTTTATTATTATT